AAAAAAAAAAAAAAGAGTGTGCAAGTGTTGTATTTGATGTTGGTGCCCTGTGTCTTGTATATACATTTTTTGTAATTTGGGGAGAGGAAGGGAAATAACAAAATGCTGAAATAAGGATAGAGGTTGACCCATTGTAACAATGAGATGTATAAGACACTACATTGAGAATGAACTTTACAACTTGAGGGGGGAGGGAGGAGTTGGGGAGATGGGGAGAGAAGGGATGGTAGGGGAAAAACAAAGGAGGAGGTAACAATGCTTGATAGGAAATGTACTCATTACCCTACTCATGTAACTGTAACCCCTCTGTACAGTATTTTTACAATAAAAACATAAAAATAAGTAAAAAAAATAAAAGAACACTTTCTTCAGAAAAAGTGTGCTAGTGATGTATGTTTGTGTGTTGTAATGTATGGATATATATCAACTAATATTGTAATATGTATATGTGCATATATAATTTATATATAAATTAAATAAATATCATAATCTTTAAATTTTATTAGTATACAGATTAGACAACTTCATTTCCTTTAAGAATTATTTCTAGTCATTTTATGAATTTTAATATTTCTGAAGTTAATTTACCACATACTCCCTAGGGATATTTATTGTATCTGGCAATAATCTTTCAAAGCTTAAAGAAAAGAGCTCATACTGGTTAACATCTTATCAGTAGAGAAACACATTTCAGCTGCAAATATTTGTCCTTTTGTTCAAACTGCTGAACCCTAAAGCCTAGAGATGAACAGATTATAAAGTAAGACATCAAGATATCATGGTCTGGTTCTTTCAACTGATGTAGCAGAGGAAAAGGAGGAGATATTTCTGTAATTCAAGGAACTTCATAGAGAACACAAAAGTATTCCAGAGAGCTCAATATTGTGACACATACTTGTAATCCCAACACTCAGGAGGATGAATTTGAGGACATCTTTGGCTACAGAGTAAGACCTCGTTTGTTTGTTTTAAATTTTATTCTAGTTGATACATATTTAAAGCATTCCGGAGCCCAAAAGATAGTATAAACGGTTTACTACATTAGGGAGCAGGGAGGTCTCTCATATTCAAATTCAATTTAAAAACAACAAATTATCATTGAGTAAGGAGACAGTGTCATGAACAAACAGAAACAGCTATTGTTATCAAGGAGTTAATTGTCCAACTAATACATCAAGTTAGCAAGCACTGAAACCCCCAGCACTAAGAGAAACTGACTCTCTCAGGTATTGCTGGAAGCAGTTATTCTAACACTTAGCTATCAACCTGAAACATGTATCATCATTTTGATTTAGCAATTCTATTTCTGGAAACCTGTCTTAACAAAATTTTCAACACAGAATAATATTTTAGCTACAAATTAAATACCCATGGCCAACAAATGGAAAGTAGGTACATTAGCAAACACTGTTTCTAATGATCTATAATGCCCTTATGAAAAACAATGGTAGCCAAGCCTTGGTGGCTCATGCTTGTAATCCTAGATTTAGGAGGCTGAGATTTGAGGATTGCAGTTTGAAGCCAGCCAGGGCAGAAAAGTCCCCGTGAGACTCTTATCTCCAATTAACCACTCAAAATCTGGAAGTGGTGCTGTGGCTCAAGTAGTAGGGCACTAGCTTTGACCACAAAGAAGCTCAGGGATAACACCCAGATCCTGAGTTCAAGACACACAACCAACAACAACAACAAAAAAAGGGATGGTAATGGACACAAAGTAAACTTCTTTTAATATTATAAAGAATATAAACTATCCTTGTATAAAATTATAATCATGTAAAAATAAGAGGTTTTCAAGAACGAGACAAAAAACATTACAATATTTGGACAATTATGGCTATTTTATATTTGTATGGTTTATATTTTTTGTATTCTTTCTGCATATTTATTTTAATACATTAAGTCTTAGAACATACATGTATGTTAAAAATACAGCCAAGTGAGCTCTTCTTATAGAATTTGGGAAAAATACAAAGTTTCATGTATATGGGTAACAAGTACTTGCATATCATCTGGTTTGTACTTTGTAGAGTATACAGAGCTTTTTAAGCGATAATATTTTGTATGTGATTTTGAAAATAGGGGAATAAAAGAGGAATAAAAGGGCTTTACCATTATCCTAACCATACAGAATCTCCTGTGTCAGAAGCGATGAACATTGTACAAACCAATGTAAGAGTCAACACTTATTCATGGGGTGAGACTTTCAGGAAGGAGCCCTGGAGGGACACTTCACCCCATAAACTAGGCATAGCAACCTCTCTGAGTCCATAAACAGAAACAGTAATGCATGAGTGGAATAAACAAGGAAGAGGTGGGTAAGTCATTCTTGTCATTTGCTACTTACTGACTAACCAGGAGCTGGCAGTTTTGTAGTAGAATTAATTAATGTTATACCCAAAGGAATCCTGTTCTCTCTAATCTGCCTTTTCCATTATACAGACAGGAATCTGAGACAAATTTATACACCAGAGCCTTAGGCACTTTTATTTTGGCTGGGGGGGGGGGGTTGTCCTTCCCTCATAAGCAATAACAAACGTGATTTACAATGTCAAATTTATAAAAGATCCACCAGGTACTGATGGCTCATACTTACGAACCTAGATACTCAAGAGGCTGAGATATGAGGATCATGTTTAGAAGACTTTCCAGGCCCCCCCCCCAAAAAAAAAAGCATGAGACTTATCTCCAATTAACCACCAGAAAGCCAAGGTGTGGCTCAAGTGGTAGAGTGCCAGCTTTGAGCAAAAATGTAAAAGACAAATGCCCAGGCTTTGAGTTCGAGTCCCAGTATTGGCACACACCAATTAAATCCAATGTATGTAAGGGGAGACTTTATTCTAAATGATTACTGCAAAAGGAGAGAAAGGCCCCGTTACTATAGGGAGAATACTTTGATCCTGAGATCTACCTACCAGTCTCTCCAAAGAGACTTTCTATTTTTTGGGGGGTGGGGGGGATAAACAACAGCAAGTAAAAAGATGAATGAGCTAGGGTGGGAAATCTTGCAATCAAAACAGAAAGTTATACCCTGAGGTCAGTCTATTCTCAGGGATCAGGTAAGGGGGATTATATGATATATTTAGGCTAAGGTTGAGTCAGGAGAAGAGAGAAAAGTTGACCAAGTAATTTTCCCTGATTGGCCAATTCGTACAGATAGTTCAGTTAACCCTTGTGACATAAAGGGATTTTGAAGAGTCTATGTCCATCTCACCTAATCCAAGTTGTAAAGGATGTGTCTTTGCAGTAAGCTGTTACTGGAACACAAAAAAATGAAAGAGCTTCTTTAACCTTTCCTGTTTTTCCAGGATCAGGGTTTAGATAAAGCTCATCATGGTCAATAACCTATGTAGTATAAAGACCAACAAACAGGTCAGCTCTGGGGATCTGTCATCTTGTTACTCAGGAGGCTGCAGGAGAAAGGATCATGATTTCAGGCCAGCCTGGGCTACACATTGAGAAACTTTCTAACAGTGACAACAAAAGGTCAACAAATGTTTATTGCTTTACAATACTTTCTTCACCCCAATACCTATTTTGCTCCCTCCCCACTTTTTGTGGCTTCTAAAACCACCATGGATCCTAGGCACTGAACCTAAGGTTAAGTCAGCCCTGATCTAGCCTGACACAGGAAGGTTGAATAGGTTTAAGACTATCATGCTAGCCATGACAGAGCTCATCCAAGGGCAACCAGGTCTTCACGGTTTTCAGCGAGGACTCATCTAGATAGAGAATGCGCGAAGCAGGCTAAGGATATCAACTTGGATAGAAGACCCTTCAGACTTAGAAAGTCAGGATTGGCAAGGGAATTTCTTTGGAGAGCTGGGAACTGGGGTTCCTTAACAGTTGACTGCTAAGATACTCATCCTTAGCCATGTTTTGGGGGTGTCTACTGTGAGCTTCACAGCCTGCCTTTAGCAGAGCTTGCTGTCCAGCAGAAGAGGCCATATAATTGCAATAAACTGTAACAGGTGCTCTGTAGGACACAGGAAAGGAGGCAGTTTGCAGACAATCAGCAATGTGCACGTGACCTGAGAGGGACCCTGAGGCTCCAGATAAACCCATACCAGGAACTAACAAGCCACCCCCCCCACCCCCCCACCCCCGGGCAGAAAAAGAATGTTCTAGTCTGAAGGCAGAGGGAAAGGCGCTCAGGGGAAAACTAAACCTGGCTTGTATTCTGAGAAAGCCAGGAATCAGTGAACAAGGAGGGGTTACAATCTCTCCACCTGTTTTCCAGACCAGTTATTTCTTGGAACCCAAAGGAGTCCCCCCGAGTTTGGAAGCCCCTCAAGTTTGCGATTCTTAGAGAAGTTTTCCTGGCTCACCCGTGCACATACAGTCTGGAAAGCTGGTTTTAAATGTAACCTTGGGTATTTTTTTTTTTAATTTTTTGGTATGTATTTATTTGCTTTTTAATATAAATTTACCTATTCTTGACGCTTCCAAGGTCGGCTTTCCTCGCTCACCTAGGGAGGTGGAGTCTTGAAGGAAACCCCCAAGTTTTTGGGGGGGTTCTCAGTCGCTGAGGTAAAAAATTCAGGTCACTTGATCTAGTCTGAGGCCACAGCAACTCTCCAGGCACAGAAAGGACCCGGCACCGGCAGGCTTCAGGCCCAGCCGGCTGGTTCCTGCCAATGCCGCCTCAGCCACCACAGAGCTCCGGAGCAGGTGACAGGTGAGCAAGCAGCCGGCGGGCGGGAAACTGGCTGCAGCTGGGCCGGCGGGAGAGGAGGTGTGGCCTGAGCGAGGCCGTGGGCGTGGTGGGCGGGGTTTAGGCTGAGTCCGGGCGAGAATGGGCGTGGTATGGACGATGGTGGGCGGGGTAGAGGCGGGGCCCGGAGCGGTGGCGGGCGTGGATGTGGATGGGCTCGGCGAGAGTGGGCGTGGTAGGGGCGGGATCTGAGGCTGTACTGGGCGGGGCTTGGGTGGAACTCAGCGAGAGTGGACGTGGTAGGGGCGGGGCCTTGGGGGCTGTAGGAGCTTGTTCGTGTTGGATGGGGCGGGGCCTGAAGACCCTGAAGGCCGGGCGCTCGCGGGGTGGAGGCGCCTCTGCTGCACCGCGGTCGGGCCGCTCGGGTGAGGCGACGCCCCTGGTTTGACTCAGGCTCCCCTGTTCTGGGCACTGGGTCCTCCGTGGTTCCCGCCACGCTTGGCTCTACTTTGGGGGGCGGGGCTCCTTGTCCTCCCCTCCGTCCCCTTGCCCCAGAGCCGGGTGCCCGGAGGGCGGGAAAGCCAGGTGGGCGCGCGGCACAGTGGCTGAACTTTTTCTGGGGTTCCCCGTTCGGGCCGTGAACTTGAGGGGCTCTGGGGATGGCGGTGAGGGAGGCTTGGGGGGTTTTTATTTGAGGGGGTGGGGGAGTCTCTGCTTCTCAGGTACTTTTAGGGGCCCACTTTAAGAAAACTAGTGTAACAGTTTCTGGGACTCGGGCTTCTCAGTTCGTTTGCTTGAAGGGAGAAGCGGGGGGGGGGGGTAGAACTTGGGGGTCTCCTGCACCCCCGAAACAGCTCGGGACTTGTGGGGGCAGGGCGGGGGAGTGCAGAAGCTTGGTCAGCCTTACTTGCTGCTCACCTGCGGACGGGGGGGGGGGTGAGGAGGGGGGGACGATAAGGATGCCCAGGAGAAGAACCTGGAAGAGGTCACACACAACTAGAATATTCTTTTCCAGGTGCTTCCTTGTCCCAGCCTTCCTCCTTTGTCACAGTATTTTGTAAACAGTTAACCGTGGTCTAGATCTGGCAGCAACCTTCAGTTCTCCTCCTCCTCCTCCTGGGCCTCCCCTTCTCCTCCCACCCTCCTCTTCCTTTTCTTCTCTCTCCATCTCTTCCTTCCTCCCCACGCTCCTCCCTTCCCCTTTCCTTCCTTCCCTCTCTTTTCCCCTCTTCTTCTCCAAATGAGTTAGGGATATGGTTGCCTGAAGGAAAGAAACTTGGCTTTGTTCTTTCACTTCTCCATCCAGCTGCCCCTCCTTATTCATACACTAGAGTTGTTGTTGTTGTTGTTGTTGTTGTTGTTGTTGTTCTTCTTCTTCTTCTTCTTCTTCTTCTTCTTCTTCTTCTTCTTCTCCTCCTCCTCCTCCTCCTCCTCCTCCTCCTCCTCCTCCTCCTCCTCCTCCTCCTCCTCCTCCTCCTCCTCCTCCTCCTCCTCCTCCTCTTCCTCTCCTTCCTCTTCTCCTTCTCCTCCTCCTCGTCCTCCTCCTTCCTCTTCCTCCTCTTCTTCCTCTTCTTCCTCTTCTCCTTCTTCTCCTCCTTCTTCTTCTCCTTCCTCTCCTTCTTCTCCTTCTTCTCCTCCTTCTCCTCCTTCTTCTCTTCTTCTCCTCCTCCCCCTTCCCCTCCCCCTCCCCCTCCTCCTCCCCCTCCTCCTCCTCCTCCCCCTCCTGCTCTTCCCCCTCCTCCCCCTCCTCCTCCTTTTTCTTTTTTTCATTTTCTCAGTTTTTGACCAGGGGAGAAGAAAGTAAGTGCTTTGGTCACGCCAAGTACTTGTGGTTAATTTGGTCTTGTGGCTTTTTTTTTTGTTTGTTTGCTTGTAAACATGGTTTGTTCCTTAGCCTTCTTTGAGTTGCATCAACATGAAAATGTGCCAGTTTTGTTTTCTATAAAGAATGCAGAGGGCTGAAGGAGAAAGGAACTGTCCTTGAAATCAGTGATTCCCCCCCCCCCCCCAAAGCCACCAAAAGCAGCCCTGAGTTCAGTTCCAATATTCTCACCTCTTTGGGAAAAGGTAATTGTAAGCTAGATATTTTTTTTTCCAATTTAACTGTTAAGCTTCTCGTTGTGTGTGAAATCTTCTGTTAATAGACTCTAGTAAAGGGAATGTTCTAGAAATCTGAGGTTATAGTTTATAGAAGACTACCAGAATAGGAGAATATATTTAAGTTATTATGTAATAACAATGGGCTTTGAAAACACTAGTATCAGGAATATTTCAGGTTTCACAATTGTTGGATTCAGTTGTCTTTTGGGCCTGACAATTTACATTTTGTTATTTGCTAATGATAATGTCCCTTAATATTGCTGACAGTGGGTGGCATTCTTTATTCTGGCTTGAAAATTTACTTACATTTTCTATTATTTAGTAATAATAATGTTAATAGTACTTCTTAATATTGCTTACAATGGATGGTATTCCTTATTAATAATTCCATCAGTCTATTATAAAAGGTATTTTTCTAGAGCCCTGATTGATATGGAGTTGTAAAAATTTTTTTAGTTGTAAAATTTCTAGTTGTAAAATTTCTAGATTTAGTTTTTCTAGTTGTAAAATTTCTAGATTTAGTTCGTGTCTAGGCCAAAGTGGAGGCAGGGTTATTTGCTTGGGAGCTTAAATAAAAATGTTTAACTATGTGCTGAGTTCTAGTCTCAGATCAGCTTTAAAATCTTTGGGATCTCAGCAAGTTCTTTAACTATTGTGTGTCATTTTTAATCTTCAAAATGAGGGAATTATCTCTGGCTGGAAAGGACATGCAATACTTTGGATCTCTTCCTTGGATCCTTTCTTAAAATGCAGGTGTTCACATTTAGAGTAGTTGTCATTGCTCTAGGAGAGTTTTCACTAGTGTTTACTCTCATTTCCAGAGGGTGTTCTAGCCTTTGGACACTACTATTGCCCCACTTAAGTGTAAGGCAATAATTAAGAGCCCTCAACTGACAGGTCTGTTTCTTTTCTAACTCTGACTTTAGGTCTTATTTACCTTGGGTTTAGGATAATGTCTAGGAGCTTTCTGAGGATCAAGTGAAGCAATTAAGTAATGAAAGCAGCACAGAACCTACAATTTAATAGTTAACAAGTAGTGGCATTTACTATCCTAAATGATTTCTGCCAGTACTGGTGCTTGAACTCAGGATCTCATGCTCTCATTAGCTTTTTGGTCACGGTTGGTACTTCTCCATCTGGGCCACATCTCCATTTCCAGCATTTTGCTGGTTATAAAAAAGTCTCCTGGGCTTTCCCACACAGGCTAGCTTTGATCTGTGACCCTCATGTCTCAGAAGGCTGAATTAGCTAGGATTCCAGGCATGAGTTACTGGTGCTCAGCTTCTTTGTTTCTTTTAACAACATGAAATTTAACTCAGATTAATGGAAAGTCTTACATAGAGGTGCTTTTAAAAAACACAAGATAGAATTCTGATCTATTAAACCAATTGGTCTCATGTTTAATTGGTGAATTAGCCATAAACGGTGAAGGTCTAGAAAGCTGACAGGATTTTAGATGGCACTGGAGAAATTAGAAAACACATCGATAGCCAAGGATTTTTTTTCCCTTCACTCTGCAAATCCCACAGCTACACTCTTAAGCTGACTATACAAACTGACTTATCTAAGAAGGAGAAAAGAGAAGACTTTTGAAACTAAATTATCCTCATTCAGAGTTAATACATGAATTCTGACTCCCCTCTTGTTCTATGTAAAACTCTTTGCCAGAGGATTTCAAGTGGAGAAAATGTACAGGTTATACCCACTAGGCATTGAGAGTAGAGTTCAGTTAGAATGAATCATTAGAGCAAGGAAAGGGAAGGCTGGAAGCTGAGAAGTTCTGAGCATCCATCAGGGAAGGCTTGGCAGCTTAAAATTTAGTTCCACTTCTGAAGAGGTCCATTTCATAGGCATTTGCTCAATGGAAATACTGTACTGAGAAACATTTTACGTAAAGCAGAAAGTGTGTTGGTAAGGTGAGAATGTGTAACAAATTCAAATTATGGCAAGTTATTTTACTACTGTCCTATTCTGTTGTGATGATGGGGAGATGTTGGCTAACCATTTTATCTCTGAGCTTTGGTTTTCTGAAATGTAAGATGGGAGTCTTGCTATTGATTTACATAATCAGGTACTGATTTAACCTTCAACTGTTTCCTTTGGGGGGGCATCTCCCTAACATTGTGGGAAGACTCACTTGTATGTAGAGTACTCTGCTCTCTGATGCCCAGTAGGCCCTCAGCCTGTGTGGTATCCTCTCCTTCTCTCCTCTTGATGAAATAGAAGCAGATGGTAACCTAGACCTGACTACTGAAGGAGTTTATGATTTTTATTCTTACTAATCAAAAGCAGACCAAGAGATTTGTGCTGTTGGTTTAGAATGACCTATGGGATGCTATATTGTCGTTCTTCCCTAACTACTATAGGCTTTCCTTCCCCTATGCTGTGTTAGTAGCCTGTGTTTTGGCTCTGTGAAAGAAGTGCCCCCCCCCCCCCCCCCCCCCCCCCCCCGCCTATCCCCAACACATCTTGAGTGTTCTCTGCTGGAAACAGGTCTACATTCCTAGGTAGGAATGATAGGATCTCTGGCTATTTTACACCCAGGTTATGTTTCAGTCATTGAGTTGGCTTGAGCTATTGATGTGAGTCTTAAGAAAAAGATATATAATTTTATTTTTTTGTTGGCAGTTGTTAGCCTTTAAAATCCTTTTAAGACCTGAAGAATGTGCCTTGAAATTCTATCTCCCTTGCAAACATTGTACAAAGTGAACAATTGGATACCTAGCATTTTCTCCTTTTGTCTCTCCATATAGATTTTGAAGAAAACACAGTTTTCTTAAGAAAACACAATTTTTTTGTTGGAATGTCTTGCAATTTCTTTTTTTTTTTTTTTTTTTTGGGTCCGGTCATGGGGCCTGAACTCTGGCCTGGGCACCGTCCCTCAGCTCTTCAGCTCAAGGCTAGCGCTCTACCACTTGGGCCACAGCGCCACTTCCGGCTTTTTTCTTTTTGCTTATGTGGTGCTGAGGAATCTAACTCAGGGCCTCTGGCATGCAAGGCAAGCGCTCTACCACTGAGCCACCTTCCCAGCCCCATCTTGCAATTTCTTTTTGGGTCAATTTTAATGTTTCTTTAGTTCATGTCATGAAGCTTACGGAGATTGATTCAAGTTCTGTAGCCTCTAGTGTGAGTGTCTTTGGAGAGGAAGCTTAAATTCAAATTCCTGTACCAACCCTGTCCCTAGAGTTTCTAACTCATTACACCAAGTGTGGAGCCCAGGAATTTGCCTTTTCATAGATCTTTGAGAGGATGTCAATCTGATCCTGATGAAACTTCTCTTCTTCCTCCTCTTCCTCCTCCTTCTCCTCTTTCTCTCTCTTTCTTT